AGGTAAGCGTCATAAAGGGCCATGTCGCGCAAAAACCGGTCGGTTGTCGTGAGGAGCTTAGAGGCCAAGTCGATACGACAGATGTCGCTCAGCTCAGCCGCCACCGGGATGGCAACAGTGCCGGCGGCAGCACTCTCATAGACGTAGCGGGTCGAAGCGTTCATCTGTTTCACGTTAGGATGTGGCGCGGCTCGGTTCGGCGGAGCAAGCGGAAAGAACGCAAAAAGGGGGACAGGGGGTGGCACAAAAACTGACTTCATTCTCCTGGACGATGTGAATAGTAACTACGAGGAAGAATATTGAAAAGAAAAAAGCTACACACTGAAACACCGTCTAGGAACCTTGTGACGTTTATTCGACGGGATTCGGCGCGAGCCTGTGTCCAGACAGAACGAAGCTGCGACGCAGAGTGCCCAAACGTGAGGTCCACTTATCCACTCAAGTACGTCTTGAGTTCCAATCGGGTGACTTCCCAACCCAATCTTGCTGAGGCGATGAAGTAGGCATCGGCACAAGCAATTTCTCGAAGCTCAGTGTCAGGCGTTGTTAGGAGGTTGAAGGCCAAATCTATGCAGCAAATGTCGCTGAGTACGGCCGTCTCTGGTATGGAGGCTGCTGCTCCCGCCGAACTGCCGTAGATGCAGTTCGTAGACGCATTCACCGGAAAATAAAGTGTTCTCTTTACTAGTGGGCGGACTGCATAATCCAGGCGTTTTTTTTACAGTTGGTCTTCGTCAACGTACCATACGTCATGGCAAAGTGTAACGCCGGGAATACGAATGTACAGACGGAGTCAATACGCTGCGACAGGGCGAGGAGATAGGAGAAGATGCGCTGTGTCTGTGATATGGCCTCGTCGACAGCTGTGGTAGACGTCGTGGAAAGTTGAAATCCAATGGGTCGTCCAAAAAATCGTTGAGGCTGATAGTCTTCTAACGCTGGGATTGGTGTTCCCGAAACGAGAAAACGCGTCGGACGCATACCCACGGGTGTCGTTCCACACATGTGTAGAGATGAACACTTAGCCGGATTGAGAGCGAGGCCCAAGGTTGAAGCGAGGGTCTCAATACGGTCAATGCAGCTTTGTAACATGTTCGGTGAAGTGGCCAATGGGGATAAGTCGCCTGCGTAAGCCAAGATAATATGCGTTTCTTCGGCGCCCTGGACCTCGCGAATGATGGGATTGATGACTAGGTTGAAAATGAGGCCGCTTAACAGACAACCCTGGTGAAAACCCGCAAAAATAGGTATGGTGTAGTTGAGCCCTCGCAAGCTACGATGACTGTGCTGTTGTCACAGTATAGGTCCACGATCAAAGATGTAAAAACTTCGCCTGCTTCCGACCCTTGGAACCGTCTAACAGCACCCGGTGGGGTACGGAGCCGTACGCGTCCGTAGGGTCAAGGAAGACTGCGCAAAGATCAAGGCCACCGCACCAAGCAATGTCGAACTTGTGTTGGAACAGGTAATTGAGCTCAAACACGATATTGAAAGGCAGGAAGCCCTTCTGGCAATGCGATATAACCGCATTTTGCGTAGCCCAAGTCTCAAGACTGGCAGCAAAACACTTGGCATACAGTTTAGATGCTGTACAACCTAGGGCAATAGGTCGTCAGTTGCTTGGGATGGCTAGGTCCCCCTTATTATAAATGAGGACCGTACGCGATGTCCGCGAGGAAATTGGTGTACGCCGATGATGAATACAGGCGTTAAAGGAGGCCGCCAAAAACCGTCTTTCAGGATAGATGGAACGCCGATCACTGTAGGTCAGACGATCCGATCCAGGTGTGGTAATCTCGGACTTGCGTAGCCACGTATAGACTTCCTCAAGTATGAAGGTAGAGGTTTCAACCGGTTCAGGTGCCACGGGACGTTGGAATAGAAGTCTTGTGTCGGCAGATCGCGCCAACCAGGCGGATTTCCAATGGTATTGGAGTTCTGTCAATGGAATGGTACAAGGGCGAGAAGGCCCCTCCAATACCAGACCAACTGCACGTCGGCGATTATGGCGGTAAAGATGCTGAATGGCCGCTGCGTTGCACGGGTTGACAGAAGGTTGTGGTGGATCCACAGAAGAAAGGGCCGAAAGACGTACAGCCTCGGAAGCAAGGGTGACGGCCTGGTCCCAGGTAAACTCGCACTGAGTGCACAAGGCGTTAGAACGCGTTTCGGGAACGGGTCTACGCAGTAGTCTCGTCAACTCACCAAGGAGCGTCGTGTGGTCTGGAGGCAATTCCATGACAAGGTGGTCGACCGGGGGTGTCGCAGGGTTGTAGTCAATGTCATCCCCACCCAAATCCTCGGACAGATCAGGAGCGTGAGAAGTAGCGTTCGAAGACAGTGAGGACGAAGACCGCAGGCGCCGCAAGGTGCCTGAAGACGCCGGGGCTGTCATCGAAGAAAACGACGAATCACGCGCGGACAAAACCGCGCGGTGGGTCGGCGAGACAGGTCCTTGGTCATGTGGTCCCGTGTCGTGCCCGGAATGTGACCGTGGTCTTGGGAGCTCCGCATGGACCGGAATTCTTGTAGACGCCTCGTCGGGAACGTCCGTGGAATGACCGGATGGAATGACCAGATCGCGTGATGACCAGTGATAGCCTGATAGAGCGATGTACAGTCGAAGCAGAGCGTGAACCATGTGCAGGGGGCACTGGGCTGTTGCGAAGCGAAGTTGTCGGGGAACCGGAAACGGAGACCGAATCCCGCAGTGAAGGTGACCCGCTAGAAGGCTGTGAAGGGGAGGTCGGGTCGGAAGCCACTGAGGATGTTGAGCTGTGCAGGGTGCCGGTGTCCGAATGAGATTACGACGTCGCGCGGTGCGTGCAAAGACGGCAAAAAGCCCGCGAAGCCGGTGGCGAGGACGAAGAAGATGAAGAATTGGAGCTGGTGGGTGCACAGCCATCTGGCACACGCTGATTGGCTGCTGAGAGCTGGCCTGTTTGCTTGTGGCGAGAACGCACGTGATTAAGTAATCCACGTGCCGATGGGAATGATGCGTCACATGTTGGGTAACGACGCCGCAGAACTGAAGAAGGGGTAGCGTCACTTAGGCCAGAAAAGGGTGTCTGAACAGGCGGGACGAAAGGCGTGCCTCGCAGATATAACACTGGTAAATACGATCACGAACAGTCAAGCGGTGTTCGTTTTTCCACGTGGCGGCGCACAGACTGTACCCGCGATGTCCGGACGTCGCCACTGTATCTGACGCTGCAATCGCCAACGGGACATCGAAGTTCCACCGGAGCCGGGAGGAGAATGGTCAAAGTGCCCCGTACCAGACTCGGTTGACGGGGCTGCACCGGTACAAGACGAGGGTGAGGATGCAGTGCTGTAAAGCCAACAGCCGTCGACGACAGCGGGGCAAGAACCGAAGCCGATGATGCGGCCGTTCATGAAGCCGAAGTCCCAGGACGGGGTCGCTAGGCCGGGGGAGGTGCCGGGGAGTCTGGCACTGGCAGGAGCTGGCCGGCGCCAAGAACGCTGGACCCGAGCAGGCTCCAAGGTGACGGCAGATCGATGGCGGGAACCAGGCATCACGTGTGGCAGGCAGCAGGCAGCAGGCAAGTCAACAAGCAGCAAACGGTAAGCAAGCCCAAGCGACGGCGAGGCGGCTCAGCGGATGGTGTCCGTGGGCGTCACCAGCAGGCATTGGCGACCAAACCTCGGACGGCAGGCAGGCAGGCTATGAAAGGTTGTAGACTCTTACCAAGCTGCCCAGGAAGGTCGCCGCCAGTGGTGGAACGCCAGGTCCGTCGCGTCGGTAGATGGGTCCACCAAATTCAGGCAAAGGGTCCTCGTCAGGCCGGGGAAAAGGCGCCCACTTGAATGGTCCTGCGTTGCGAAAGGACGCTTACGAAAATCTCCCAGAGTGGCCAAGTCCCTTGAGGGACCGCTCCTCGTCCTCTGGCCAAGGATAAGCTGAAAAGTGGAGTGCCCAGATTTTTTATTCATATTACATACACAAAAACATCATAATGGTTAGGAAATGAACTCAAATACAAAACTGGGAAAAAGTGTACAAGTTAAAAACCTGTCATAAAAGGGCTGAAAAACTGTAAGTACAATAGGTTGTAAACGGTACAACTGCAAAGGTCTATAAATCTGAAACATGGAAAAATCGCTTCTCTAAAACCATGGCTATGTACAGTATATTACAATACTCCCTTGTGGTAGGGGTAAATGTCCGTGGAAGCCGCGATTATGTCACTGACGCACAAGCCTTTCATAGTTCAAATATAGTTCTTTGAACACAGTCTGCGGGTGACACGATCGTTCGCCAAATCTCACTACCCCAGGCAGCCGACGACAATAGCTTTGATGGTGACGCGCTGGAACCGTTGGAGGAGATGTCGCTGTAAAGGGGCGTATTTCTCCTTTGTGGGCATCCGGGCTTCCTGGTAGGCCTGCACTCACTTGTCGAAAGGGCAGCAGACGTTTAGGATCAGGGCTTCCTCGCCTCGTGCCAGGATCAGGTCGGATCGCAGGCCGGGAAGACCAACCTGTTTGTTCTCCCCGATGATAGTGAGCCTCCCAAGGGCAGCCTTCTTGATGCGTGCGACGATGGCGTTGTGGCGCTCCGTCATTGCTCAGCTCTGCCGCATGCAGTGACAGAGAACATTCGGCAGCGTCTCCTTCCCATACCCACAGCCTCAGCACCGTTTGTCTACGGCAGGTACCCAGATGCGTGAGCCATTAAGGGGGAGGAGGTTAAGCCGGGCTCGGTGGATGAAGTGCCACTCCTTTAATCTGGTGTAGCGTCCGGTCCGAATGAAGTGAGAGTTAGCGGGGTCCGCCACTGCTCACGCCATCGCCTTGCCCTGGTTCGGTTTCGCCTGGAGGGAACGGTTCCGGCTCTGGCTGAGGATGGCCCGGAGGGTTTTCAACGGCTTATTCTGGTTCCGCGCAGACATCTTGGCTTGCCCGCAGGTGATGCGGGTGCCCTGGTTTTGTAACTCCCAGGTGACAGTTGGGTGACGCGAGGCTTTACGGGCCTCCTTTCAGGCAGACTGAAGTTGAGTGGGGGTCTGTCTGAAGTCGCCTTCCGTGTCGCACGAGAGGTTAGCCACGATGCCCTTGTCGTACGCGTCGCGTCGGAGCCGCCTGGAGACAACGTGGTGGAGCGCTTCTCTTGCCCACTCCCGGACCACCGTGTTCGTCGACGTCAGGAGCTTGAAGGCGCCGTCCACCCGGCAGATGTCGCTCAGCTCCGCTGCCTAAGAGATCCCTCTGAGAGTAATTTATAAAACAAAAGGTGCTTAGTGCGTTAGAAATAAAGGGACCCATTTATTTATATCGTTTTCATAGGTTCTCCTAGCTTTGTTAGCGTCTCTTCGTCTTCCTCTCATGGCCTCCGTGATTTGTTCCGGTTACGCGCAGCCGGAGCCAATCCCAGAAGCCGCGTTTAGGACGACGAAATCCAAGCGCAATACGCGCGCGTCTAACGCATGTAATTCTGACCAAGAATATTACACAGCTTTCATAGCATTGCACCTAATCTTTTAAATTTCATATAGGCAAAGAAAAGCTCGCTTTAGATTTGCAAAAAAAAGGAGGGGGGGGGGGCAGAACAAGACAGGCATGGTTTAGGGAGGAATAAAACTGCTGACCTGATTCAGGCAGAGAGCAGAGTCAATTGTCACGGACAAGTGTCCGTGTTTCTGGATGCTTCGTTTTTTCTATTAAAGTGGGCGACCCTGTATTCTGAACGTTTGACAACATCAACAAAAGAAACAACGATAAAAAAAGAGAGAAAGACAGAGTGGTTAGGTCGATATGTTCCCCAGGGAAATTTACGCACCAGATATGCCCCCATGGGGATAGAAAAGAAACA